GCATCCATCCATCCATATTCAAATCTATCTATATCTATCCTAATCTAGTGTGTTTAATTTTACATACTGGTAAATTTTATATATATATATATATATATATATATATATATTTAATAAAAATAACAAATGCTCTTTTAGACAGCTGAAAGAACATCAGTAATGATATGGGCAGATGGACACACACACACACACACACACACACACACACACACACACACACACACACACACACACACACACACAGTTTAAGTCACATTAGACAGAGACTGCATTACAGCTTATTCTTAAAATACCACCTTAACATCACTCACAACCCTTACAAGTAGGGGTACCGTGGTATATTATGGTATAAAATGGCAAAACTAAGGTTCTGTATGATTAACTCATACACCACAAAATCCACATTGTCCTCCAGGGTACATCATGGTAGCACTATGTTAGCATTAGCATGATACCATTTCTGAACCATGTGCTCGTTAATATTTGCACAAAGCTAAACACACAAATTTACAAATAGTCTCGCGCACACGCATACACACAGTAATGGTGAGGCCTGTGTTCTGGTAGTTTATAGTTGCTGCCCTACATGGCCAGAGCTTCTGGAATAGCAACTGCCATCTGATCTGTGCACACAATCTGTCAGCCGCTCGCTGCACTCTTAAACACTTTCTCTCTGGAGGAATAATGCAAAAATGATCAATGACACCAATGCACAATAGGACGCTTGGAAAAACAAATATATTTTGGGGGATTTTCATCAAAAAGTATTGTCTAAGATTTGTGCTTGATTTATTTATTTATTCATTTATTTATTTATATATTTATTGACACAGAATGAGTGAGATAGATATTTAGACATTTTTCCGTGAATATAGGCAATGTATTTTGGTGCATTTAAACAAAACAGATTAATTAAATAATTAATAATTTTTAAAGTTGGAGCCAATGGCCTAGTGGTTAGAGCGTCGACACATAGCACTAAGGTGCTCACGGCGGCTCGAGTTTGATTCCCGGCTCGAGGTCCTTTGCTGATCCTTTACTTCCCACTTCCTGTCCATAATCTCCTGTGCGTTAAAGGTAACTAACCCGAAAAAAAATAATAATATTTTAGTCAGTAAGCATATTTAGAAATTGAAAGATACTTTTAAATTCAAGCAAAATATTGCAAAAAAAAAAAAAAAGAAATACAATCTTCAAAATTTCAACAAAAATTTTCATTTTTTTTGTTTGTCTTGATTTTTTTTCTCTTTTTAAAATTTGTATTTAATATTTTGTATAACATAAATTTGGCTGTACTAGTTTTTGGCCCGTTATTGTAAGTTATTTTGTTGGATAAGCACCAGATTTAGCTTCAGTACTGACTGAACTAATGTATATGCACAAATAGAATATTGTATAGCTTCCTACTAAAAATATCAATTTAAAAGAGAGATTTGTAAGGCGTGTGCTTATATATGCTGAGCACTGTAGCTCCATTTCATAAATAATTTTAAAATTAACCATGAGTTTGTATTTAAAACATGCACAAATGTACCAGTTACTGTACTGTGTTTGCATCTTTATATATTGCACTGTAAATGTGAAAATTAACAACTAATTAATGATTAAACAATTAATTAATTCAATGTTTGGTGTTATTTA